AGTAGCTGGGATTTGCATCAGGCCTGGTCTTAATTTTTATGTCTTGGGTTTTGAGATATTTAGGCCCATTTCTACTGCAAGCTTCTGGTGACCCCAAGGATAGCTCCTGCATACTATGGTTGATATATATTTTGTTCCCATAATCCAAAATGCCATTTATTTTTATCAGCAAGAAATTAAGTCTTAACCTTAAGAGGCAGCACTGGGGAAATAACATCTCTCTCTAAATTCCCCACAAATAAGCCAGGCATTGGTGGCTCACATTGTAATCTTAGCTACTTGGAGGCTGAGATCAGGAGGATCTCAGTTCAAGGCCAACTTGGGGAAATAGTTCATGAGAGCCCTATCTCTAAAAATAACCAGAGCAAACTGAACTGGAGGTATGGCTCAGCAATAGAGCACCTGCTTTGCAAGCATGAAGTCCTGAGTTCAAACCTCAGTTCTGCAAAAAAAAAAAAAAAGTCCTCACAAATAGGGGGATTAACCAACAATGAAACATGACTTGAGACCTACAAACCATGTACAAATATATGACCTCAAATGGCATCTTGATTAAAGTTGTGGCTAAAAAGCCCTCATGAAACAGATGAGGAAAACTGAACACCTATTGGACATTGGATATTAAAGAGCTTTTTTTTTTGTAGTACTGGGGTTATGAGGTTCAGCCTTATACCTGCAAGTGCAATACAACTCGAGTCACACCCTCAGCCCTTGATAGTAAAGAACTTTTAACATGGGGATCTTTGTAGGTATGAAATACTGTAGTTATGCTTTTTATTTTTTGTAGATACATACAAAAATTTTTATGGAGCCAGGTGCCAGCCGCTCCTGTCTATAATCCTACCTACTCAGGAGGCAGAGATCAGGAGAATTGCGGTTCAAAGCCAGCCCCTGGCAAATAGTTCATGAGGTCCTATCTAGAATGAAAAAAATCACAAAAATGGTATAGCATGGTGGCTCAGCAGTAACACCACCTACCTAGCAAGCATGAGACCCTGAGTTCAAACCAAAGTGCTGCCAAAAAAAAAAAAAATTATAGATGGGAAGCTGATGTCTGGATTTTGCTTCAGTGTAATTTAGCACAGAGGGGCAAGTAGAATAGAAATAAGATTGGGCATTAGTTCTTTGTTGAAGTTAGGTTAGGGTACAAGTGCATTCTAGTAGCCAACTTTTTTTTTTTGTGGTACTGGGGTTTGAACTCAGGGCCTACACCTTGATCCATTCCATCAGCTCTTTTCTGGGATGGGTTTTTTCGATAGGGTCTCTAGATCTATTTACCCAGGCTGGCTTCAAACCTTAATGCTTATGATCTTCGCCTCCTGAGTAGCTAGGATTATAGGCATGAGCCACCAGCACCTGGCCTAGTCTACCTCTTTAAAAAAAAAAAAAAAAAAACTCCATTAAAGTTTTTTTAAAACTCTAGTTATTGAAGAAAGTGCCACTTCCCCAGAGGCATAAGAACTCTAGTCTCAGCCAGGCGCTGGTTGCTCACACCTATAATCCTAGCTACTCAGGAGGCAGAGATCAGGAGGATCACAAGTCAAAGCCAGCCTGGGCAAATAGTTCGAGAGCCCCTATCTCAAAAAAAAAAAATCACAAAAAGTGCTAGCAGAGTGGCTGAAGGTATAGGCCCTAAGTTCAAACCCCAGTACTGCAAAAACAAACAAAACTCTAGTCTCCCTCCTCTCTGGATATGTTCCAGATCTTTCAAAACAGTGTGATTTTCCAATATTTGACCTATTATCACAAACCAATGAAATGCTTGAGTTTCAGAAGTAGCAACAAAGCCCTGTTAGGCATGGTGAATCACATCTTAGTTTGGTAAAGTTACACAATGAGGAAAAATCATTGGGAAGCAACAGCGGTGGCTTACACCCCAATAAATTTTATATAATGGTCCCAAGGGGGCCTTACTAGCCCTTTTTGTTTTTCTAAACACTCAACTCTGTCTTGTTCTCTGCTGCAGACTCTCTACCAACAGAGACAAATGAGATTAGCCAGGGGGAGAGAAGCATGGACCACTTCCAGATAGATCATCTTCCAGGTGTGATGTATATATACTGCTGAAGGACGGACAGTAGCCATTAGGGGACATGGCTTTGGAAAATATACCCCTACTTGGTTTCCTGGTTTCATTTTGTACCTTATTTCCTTCTTGATCTTTGTCTCATATTACCTCCCAGGAAAGTGGTCAGGTTTTATATAAGGCTTCAGGAAGATTATCCCCCAGAAGACATGTAACTCCTTTCATTTCTTACAGTTTGAAACTAAGTTTGTAGAACTAATTCTTGGTAGCATGCTTGGGGTTGGGAGATTGGATAATATACTTATCAACTTGTTTTTGGCGGTACTGAGGTTTGAACTCAGTACTGCATGCTTGCTAAGCAGGCACTCTTAACATTTGAGCCACTCCACCAGCCCACTTGTTTCCTTTCTTGATTTTTTAGCTTTGGATGTAGTCCTGTTGCCACTATTAACAAGCAACAACTCTGTTCCTTAACCTGATTATATTTTTCCTGTTTGCGTATTGTTTCCTCTATGCTTAGTTACTATTAAAGGTTGATTTTCTTTTGTCAAAACAATAGTTGGACACAGGTTTTCAGCTTATTAAAGTGTATAGATGATTTCAATTCTGTTGCTAATCACAAGCTCTAGAATGGTGCTATGAGCAAGTGGCATTACCTCCAAGCCTGTTGTATCTCCATCACTGCTGAAGTCTCAGAGATGTTAATCACTGTCACCTGACTCCTGAGAAATAATGTGCTTTTAATTTACCTCAGTAAGCCACACCCCTTCAAATAATATAGTAAGTCAGAATTTTTAAAAAAGTGGTGATAGAGATTGAACTCAGGACATTGCATGTGCTAGGCAATGTCCACTTACACTCCAGCCTCTAAATCAGAAATGTGGATGGACTTGGTTCCATTGATCCCTAAACCATTAGAGTACCAAAGTGGAAAAGAGAGAAAAAGTTTTAATTTTGCCCTTTTATTATTCTACCAATTGGGGACTTCCACTCTTTTAGATGACTAACCCCCCATTGATATCTACTTGCTTTATATGTGATCCCAACTGATGAAAATCATTCTAAAGTACCAATAAAGTAATTAAATTGAAGACCATGGTCCCTCTGTTCCCAAGACAGATCTTATAAAGAGGGAAACGTCTCTTTTCTGGACACAAATGGAACCAATAGCAAACAATAAAAAAAAATCAATCTCTGTCAAGCTGGACACAAAGTAGTGTCAGGTTTGTAAAACCAAACCTGGAACTATCTCTTCCACCCTGTGACCAGGAGAAACCATTCCTTCTCCTCCATCACTCTGTAACATAATTCTACTTTTAAAGGACATCTTCCCCAACTCCCCCTCCAATAAATACCCAGACTAAATATTCACCACTCAATTATTAACACAAACTCTGTGGAGAAAATTTACCCTGAGACAAACAATGAACAAGAAGAGATTTCATAGCAATAAGGTAGAAGTGGTCCCAGTGTCAGAAACGAGAACATTCTGCTGCGCGTATGGTTCAGGGATGTAGCAGGTGAGACATGGAACATCAAATTAGTGTGAGGAAGAGGAAATACTTGTGACAAGACTGGGACATAATGAGAATCTTAACTGCATTATTATGCTTGGACTTGTACTCAGACAGAAAAGAAGGGGTACAGGTAGCCTTATATTCCAGGGGAAATGATGGGATTGGGATGCATTGGATCATCAATTGACTCAGAATACTTTTCTCCTCCTTTTCAGGCCTCCAGTAGATGTGGTGCAAGTTCTGGCTTCAATGCTACACTGAAGGAAAAGAACAGCAGAGAAGAGAGCAAGAGTTATCTCCTGGCCCATCATTTGCCCAGATCCTTAGCACTTTCTACTTTGAGGCTAGAGGACTGTATTTCTTCTGGTCTAATAACATTAATCTGTGTCCCGTGGTCATCCTCCCCGCTCCATCCTCAACGTACTACATCCTGGTAGCCCATCCTGAACATAAAGCTTTTTAGATCTTTGCAACAAGCTCATTTTTAAAAATGTGACTTCTTTGTTTAAACAGTTACTAAGTTGGTTCGCCTTTTAGTAATAGACCCCTTCTTTCCTTAGCCCCCTCCCCATTCAGTCCTGTATGATCACGTCATCATCCTCCTCATCATCTTCTTCTTCCTCTTCTTCTTCTTCCTCACCATCTTCTGGCAGTTCTTCTTCCTCCTCCTCTTCCTCTTCATCTAGACAAACTACCACCTCAGCTGGCTCAGGTAGTCGAGAATCAAACCAGTCCAGTACTTGCTGTGTGCTAAGCCTTGATGCCTGACTCAGTTTAAGGATATCAGCTTCCTGTAGCTGTTGGTGGGCTGCCCAGTACCTCTCCAAGGGTCGTATATCTGGTGGGGGTGGAGGGGTTGGCAGAGGTGGTGTCTCAGCCCATTCTTTCAAGGAACGTGTTGATGGTGGTGTGGGAATTGCTGGGTCTTGGAAACTAGGGGCACCAGGTACTACATTGTCCCGAAACCATTTTAGTTGCCCATGCTTTAAGGCATAGCGTGTGTCACCAAACCACTGAATGATTTCAGGCCGAGGTAAACCAGTGATCTGTTCCAATTTATGGTAATCTTCTCGTCGTGCCCATTGGCACTGTAGAAAAAAGGATTTGAGGATAGCCAGCTGTTCTTTGGTTTTGCGCTTAGTCTTTCGCTGGCGTTGCATATCTGGGGATAGGTATTCTGTGGAGCCAACTCTACCTGATACTGAATTATGCCGTAGCCCTTTGGGCCAGGCTGGCTCCAGATGTGGGGGTAATGCCTGTTCACTGGGTGAGAGCGACTGTGGGATGCAGCCCAGTGGCTGAAGTTTAGAGGTGGCAGTAGCTCCATTAGCTAGTACCTGGAAAGAAGAGGAGGTAGCGGAAGAAGAAGGAGTCATACTAGATGCTGACTCCTCCTTACAACTACTGACAGGTAATGAGATTCGTGGGGGCTTGTTCTGAGCATGTGGCTGGTTGACAGCTGTGGAGTGGTTCCAGGAAGCAGTATTTACGCCATGTGACTGGTCATGACCCCTGCCTGTCTGCTCCTTAGAGAGGCCACTGTTGTGAAGAGATTGGTGTGGGGACACTCCACTGCCAGGTGTCATCGGGGGCTCCTTTGCTTTCCGGAGACTGAGTGGCAGAGGTGGTATCTGAGAGGACTCCTCAGGCTCTACCTTCAATCCTTTTATCTGGGTGGGTTCACTGAGAGTCAAAGGACCTATTCCAAGACCAACTTGTCCTGGTGGTGGCAATGGAGATGGGGCCACCTCCTCTGGGGGTCGCCCTGCATGATGAGTAAAAGAGAGAAGTGATTTGAAATGGAGTTGGTCCCGATGGTAGACCACCCGAGCTCGAGTCTCTTCTATTTCTTCAGATGACCAGCTAATGCCACAGCGGAGGCGCTGGGCCATAAACCAAGTCTTGACTTTCTCCATCTGCAGCCCATAACGTAGACAGAGAAGGGCAATATCTGCTAGGCTAGGATAGGGAAAGTAGCTAAAGGTTTGTAGCAGGTGTTCATTGCCATCCAGCTCGCTGGTCTGGGCTGCTTGGGTCCACACAAGCTGTAGCTCCTCAGAGATTGGAGGCAGGCAGATGAGCCCTGCTGCTGAGCTGTTAAGACTGCTGGCCTCTTTATTAGGAGGCATGGTGTGCTCTGATTTGTGTCCTTCAGAGATAGCTGTAATAAGAACAGAAACAGCTAAATCACTGAGGCTTCTTTTTTTTTGGCACATTATTTATTTATTGGCAGTACCGGGGTTTGAACTTAGGACCTCATGCTTGATAGGCAGGGCCATACCCATACTTCTTGAGCCACATTCCCAGCCCTACATGGCTCAATTTCTACCAAACTGTTGGATACCAAACTATTTGTATCATGTGTTGTTTTAAAGTGCTTCCACAATTTCTCATTTAATTTTCATAACCTTGAGATCATCAGAGGCAGCTACAATTTTCAGGTTTTTTATGAAAAATCCAAAGTCCATAGAAGTTTGGGATCAAAATTATTTCAAGTCACATGTTTAGTATTGTCATCAAGACAAAAACCTGTCTTTAGAGATTAAGGAAAAGTTATCCTTATAAAGCCTTTGTCTTTAAAAAAAAGCCATTGTCTTTCCAATTCAAACTTGCTCTGGAAGCTCTCCCTCAACTTTCACCCTCCTAAGTTCATGGAACAGGAATCACCAAATGAAGACTCAACTACAAAAACAAGAGGAGCCCTAATCTCAGAATTATTACTCTTTGGCACTAACAATTTATGATAATCTCTAGAATGTGGAGATAGAAAAACAACCAATAGCTGGGTGCGGGTGGCTCACTCTTGTAATCCTGACTACTTGGAAGGCTAAGATTGGGAGGATTACTGTTAAAGCCGGTTTGGGCTAGTAGATCCTGAGACCTATCTCCAAAATAACAATAGCAAAATGGACTGGAGGTGTGGCTCAGGCTGTAGAGCACCTGCTTTGCAAGTGTGAAGCCCTGAATTCAAACCCTAGTCCCACCAAAAAAAAAAAAAAAAAGACTTTCCAGAGGGTAAAACAGCACTGTGCTCTGCCCAACCCCCAGCCTTCTTCTTTTTTTTTTTTTCACTTTTTGGTGACAGAGAATTGGAAGGAGGAGAATGATAGTACCTTCAAGCTTTAAAAACTCAAACCAAAATGTTATCATTCGCTGGTAAATGGATGGAATTGGAGAACATCATTCTGAGTGAGGTTAGCCTGGCTCAAAAGACCAAAAATCGTATGTTCTC